AATAAATAAAGAAAGAAAAAAATGTATATATGTATATGTACATATAATCACACCACTTTGTGTACATATATATACATAAACATTTATATATATATATTATATAATATATAAAATATATATATATATATATATATAATATATATTATATATATATATATTATATATATATATATATGTATGTGTATGCATGTATATGTATATGTATATGTATATGTATATGTATATATATATATAATATATATATATAATATATATTATATATATAATATATATATATATATATATTATATATATATATATATATATATATATATTCATAACCATATTAGTTTAAGAACACTGTGTGTTAGTATGTCAAGTTTGAAAAGAAATAACACTACTATAAGACAGATAAAACCAAGGATTTCAATTTAAGGTGAATGTGTCCAACAGGTTTAACTTTATATCTAAAATTAATAAATGCATGGGAAGTACCAGCATACTTTACAGTTAAAAAAAAATGGAGATGTCAATGTGTGTGTGTGTGTGTGACAAGTATCTACATATAATGTCTGCTATCGGTAAAATATACAAGCTAAAATAGCAAAATTAATAAAGCCAAACCATAGAAAACAACAAATATGAACTCTTATCAAGTATTAGATAAAACAAATTCACAGGCATCAAAAAAAATTAAAGTGGATAAGAATAATAAAAAACAATAATTATAAATATTATTTTTCTCTTGTCAATAATCACCTGTAGGTATTCATCTAATTCCACCTGCCCATTAAGATTAAGATCGATCTCCTTCAGAATCTCATGGAGAGTTTCACCAGGAACATCTTGACCTCTCGCCTGAAAAGTTCATATTTAAAAAAAGTCATGAAAACGACCCCAAACCCTGTTAAGGTCCTGGATTGTGCACACTACATTCCAAAGTGCCCAAATGTTCGGCTCCTCCAGCTCATGCCTTGGGCTTCATCCTTCTGCGTGTTAGGTCTCTCTTTTGTGGGTGCAATGTGTTGTTGTGTGTCTTATGTGAAACATGGATAGAGACCAAAAGTGTTGTCTGGGACACGCAAACTTCTGGTGCTCTTGGCTCTGATGTGCTGATAATCAGAGATTGAAGAATTGCAAGAGATACATTTACCAACTCATATAGTCCATCAGCATCTACAAGAGAACAAATCTCTGAAGTCAGTTCAATATACAACTTAAAGAGCTTGATCACCTAAGAACTGAAATCAGCCATAAACTGTCATGATTACCACATTCCTTACTTTCAAGGCAATTTTTCACAGAAAAAAAAATCTAAATGAAAATTACTTAAACCTTTGGAATGCTCCTCTTGCAATAGTTCTATCTCAAGTGCTTATGATAACATATCTGTTTTTGTTGCAACAAATGTTGACAGAGAAAAGAAGAAAAAATTAGTACAACCTGATCTAGGGCTTCTGATCTGAACAAATAATTGATATATTCAACTAGATATAAAGTGGTCTTAGTAACAGTCAAAATGCAAACAACCATAATTTTGAAGACAGATTAGGATGTTTTAAAAGATAGGGTGGGGGGATCCTTAATGCTATAGTAGGACACCAAGTATCAAAGTCATGATCCCACAAACTAAGGTGGATGAAGAGAATAGCAGCTAACCAAGTGAGGATTTTTTTGCATTTCAAAGGCACTTCCCAAGCTAAAAACATGCTATCATTAATAAATATGAGATCTGGGCTCTCATGGCTTCAATAAGGAAAAAAATTATACATACAGATATATAAGAAAGTCTACATTTTGTTCCAAAGTTTAGCTTAACTGTATTCATTCATGTTTCTGCATATCCTTTACTATTCTGTTGCAGAGGCAAAATTTTCCAAACTAAGGCTGGCACCAGGAATCATAATGTTATGAGTGAATATCTATATGCATCATATAGCAAATTTATACATTCTGTTTATGATCAGCAGAAGTATTGTTATCCATAAAATATTGTAATCTTTTCTTGTTATAAAATATCAACTCTCTAGTAAACTGTAATTAAATTTCAAGTGCATATAAGAATAGCCAAAACCTAACCTTGCAATCAAAAGTTATTGTTGCTCCTTCTACAGCACTAAATAATAGCATATTTTTCCCTTCTGCAATCTGCCACAAATTCCATGACTTATATGCATTAATTTGATCATATTTAAAGAACTTTTAGTTACTGCATCAGAAGTACTAAACCAGATTCAAAATTAAACAGTGTAAACCAAATGAAGAGACAGGTATCTGAAAAGCAAAGAATCTGTAACTGGCAGACACTTTATATTTTGTTTACCTGTACGTAATCTGGGAATTCGACTTGCCCGTGCTTGTGGACATCTACCTCATTCAAGATTTCATGCAGCTTGTCTAGATTAATCCTCTCTCCATCATTCTTAAATACGTTTGGAAAAAAACTTTATAAGAATATAATTACCCAACAATCCCCTCACATTGAAAAAGAGGTCAAAAGTAATAAATTAAAGTTATGCTAATAACAGTAAACAAAAATATCAGTTCATCCCTTTATGTGTTGCAGTAAATATATCTTTAGCAATGTATATACTGATGGAATTAAGTAATAATCTTACTAGTAATACAAGAACAAAAATCTTCAATGAAGCATTTTTAATCAAGAAACTGCACTCTATATAACCTTCCCTTTTTCTTCATTCATATATTTGACATTTATTCTTAACTGTTGAAATTCATTAAATGCAAAGAGCTGTTGTTTTATACATTCACCTGCTTCCAAAATAATAATTCTGACATCCTTTCCTCTATATTTCATGAAAATTTATAAGTTATAATTCCTGTAACACAATCAAATATCTTATTCATTATCAACACATACTATTTCAGTTTTCAACCTGAGTGCTATAATATATTCAATGTTCAATTATAAAACTATTAAACAAAAGTATGTCTACTTTGAATCTACCATCATTCTCAGACTACATCCAAACTATACAGATATGAAAATTATGAATAATAGCATCCTAACTCATGGGAGAAATCATTCTCTTAAATGTCACATACCTTCAGGGACATCCTTAGATCATTAAGTGAGATATAGCCTTTCTTGTCAGTGTCCAGGGAATTGAAGCGCTTTATGTAGTCACTGATTTCACTCTTGGAGAGGTTGATTGGAATTTTTTCACGTGATGCTCTGTTCACATTCTGACCCATTTCTTGCTGAAGGAACTTCACAGCTGCAGCTAACTGATTCTGTTATAAAACAAACCTTGCAGTACATCCTATTTTGGTACTAAAATATATCAAAATCTGTCATCAATAAACCTTTCTATATTAGTCTGTGGACTAGCAATAGCACATATATACCAGAGGTACCACCACCACTAGAATTAAGAATGAAGTTTTAACTTCATTCTGAACTCTATATTTTTCATCAATGGTTTATCACAAACAAAATAAAAATAAATGAATAAATAAACCATTGGTTTGTAATGGCAAATTGTCGCATGCTGATTTTGACAGACAGGTTATGAGTTAATTTCATATATATATATAAAGTTCGTATGTTATTTTCTACTAATGAATCTCACTATGTAATTCATATATCTATCACATTGTTGACATTGATGACATGATATGCAATATAGATTATCAAACAGCAACTGTGTGACATGATATCACATATTAATGATTTTCAGAATCTTTCCAAGCAAGACATAACAGCCATCATGCTTTTTAAAATTTTCCCAAGGAATTTAAGGTCACATTTCATCATACATTATCACATCACATGCCTAGCCTTGGCAAACTTTCTTGGCCTCTGCTCTTATACTACCTATTCTGCTACTGATATCTACTCCCTCAGCTCTGACACTGACATGGACAAACCACAGCCTTCCACCTACAGGAACATCAAGCAGAGGAAGTCCAGATATCTATGAGCCTTCCTTTTACCTGTCTGACATCCCTTTGGTGAGGCAAGTATCAACCATTGAAGAAGTCAGTGACAGGATCACATCAAAGTCAAGATTTCAATGGTAAGAACTTTGATTGGGACTTCAAGATCAGTTCCTAAGGAGACATTCTCATTTGTTCATATACTTCATAACTGAAGTATATGAAAACTAGAAGCCGTCTTGTGGCCACTTGATGAACTCATTCCAGTTTCTGTGTCCTCTTTTGAATGCAGGTCTTATGATACTCATGATGATTCCCATGAATTCTTGTAATTTACTGTTCTTTGTGTGTGTATTTTTTTTTTTTTTTCCTTTTTTTTGTCTGAAAACATATTCAAATTGCTATCTGAATTTCTGTTTAAGCCCATATCATTGACAAAAACAATAAATGTCACAGGTTCCAAGGCTGATCTCTGTGCTTCTCTGTGTAAAGTGACTGCCTCAAATTACTGTACACATTAGTCTTTTATAAAAAAAAAAAAAAAAAAAAATCCTTCATCTATTGTGTTATTAACTTTCCTAGCAATGTCAATGCTGCACCTGCAAGTGATACTGGTACTGTAAGTGATGCTGATACCTGCAAGTGATGCAGAGGATTTTGCTGATCCCCTCTCTTGTAAAGGGCTATTATGTTCACTAGCTTCCATTTTTGTATGTGTGCAATCAGCATTCTTCAGAAGGTTGGGTGTGTAAGTGTGAGTGCATTTGCATGTGCATTTGCATGTGAATGAGTGTGTGTGTGGTGGGGGGGGGTGCGTGTGTGCGTGTGTGTGTGTGTGTTTGTGTGTGCATGCGTGTGCGTGCGAGTGTGCATTTGTGTGTGCATGTGCATGTGTGTGTGCAGGTATATGTGCAGGTACATGTGCAGGTGCAGGTGCAGGTGAAGGTGGATGTGCATGTGCAGGTGCAGGTGCGTGTTCATGTGTACATACATGCGTGTGTCTGCGTGTTTGTGTTTGTGTGCATGTGTGTGTGCGTGTGCATGTGTGAGCGTGTATGCATGTGTGTGTGTAATCACAGCATTCTTCAGATTTTCATATATTCATCACTAAAATCCACACTGAAAAATAATTCCTGTACCATGTTTCAACATTCTTATTTACCTTTTTCTCTTTCTCAGACCACTTCAGCTCCTCAGCCATTATATTAACGATGGTTGGCAGAGCCTCTTCTGCTGCCTGGGCATTGAGGAAAGCCAGACGTAACCTTCTTGCAATGATGTCAACTGCAGTAGCCGCATATTCCCTACATGCATATTTCACCTCTGCATCAATGTAGGGGAACTCACTGTGCAACCTTCGTCCAACTGATAAAAAAATTGATTGGTGAGACACATTAACAGAACTGGCAGCCTGCCACTAAAAGGTTGTGACTCGGCTTTAGATCATATTAACATCAGCTATTATGTTAATAATAATGGTGATGAAATTGTTTATATTAGTGATAAGGACAAAAATGGTAATAACAAAAATAATAATGATAATTATAAAAAGAAAATAATGATGTGAATAATAATAATATAATAATTGTATAATGGTAATACCATAATTATTATCACTATTTTCATTATTTCACATCATTATCATTAATATTGATGAAGATGATGAATTTAATGACAATGATATTGATGATGATAATGACAATAATGATGATGAAGATGATGATGATGATAATGATGATGAAGATAATTATCATTATTACATTCAAAATAAAAAAATTATTACGATTATCATCATTTAAAAGTATACGCATCCAGAAGAATTGGCTGAAATAACATCTGTTAAATGTTTCATTAAATATAACTTTTGTCTATATCTTAAGCATTGATATTTTCATGATAATGTACTCAATCTAAAGATTGTCCAACATTAGCCTGAACATATAGATGATGATGTTAAAGATGAAAGTTTAAATTAATAATATATTTAATAAATATATTATTTCAAACAGGTCTGAGAACAGATTTGGACAAGTATACCTTTAATTCTGCAGTAATTACTTCTATTACCACTTTTATCATTACAACTAGTAATGGTCGTTGTTTTTGTTTTAGCTGTGACGTTATTTTCCTTTTTTCATTAGAAAAAAGTGTTCTCACTCAAATGTTACAGATAGCATGATGGGTGAGGAAACTTTTTTCCCTTATTTGTTGAAAGGAAACCTTCCTATGTTCGAGGCCTCAAAGAAAAGCTTTCCTATAACATTTTTACCAATTGGCCACCGTTTTCCAGTGAGTGACGCCAGCTTTGCAACGCTGAAAGCCCGATCTCCATAAGTGTGGGCAAGGTGCTTCGCCACCTCAGACTCAAGGCCAAAGTCTTGCACAAGTCTGATGAACATGGTGGGTGTCCAGCTGTGGGCACCTTCCAGAAGGAGGCCATCTGTCTGAGATTCCTGGTGAACAGGAGATAGGCTACAACCTGTCAAGAGAAACACAATATAAAGAAAGAGAACAAGCAAATTTCAGTGTATTCAAAAGGATTCGTGTGTGTGTGTGTGTGTGTGTGTGTGTGTGTGTGTGTGTGTGTGTGTGTGTGTGTGTGTGTGTGTGTGTGTGTGTGTGTGTGTGGTGTGTGTGTGTGTGTGTGTGTGTGTGTGTGTGTTGTGTGTGTTGTGTGTGTGTGTGTGTGTGTGTGTGTTGTGTGTGTGTGTGTGTGTGTGTGTGTGGTGGTGTGGTGTGTGTGTTGTGTGTGTGTTGCATGTTTTAATAACCCTACATTAAAACATCATTTATAATAACCCTGCATTAAAACATCATTTATTAAAGATAACTTACTCTGGATAGCAGCATCTAGGGTCTCTGTTGCCATAGAACGGTACGTTGTCCATTTCCCTCCTGCAATCGTCACAAGTCCTGAATCACTGACGTGGACGATATGATTACGCGCAATACTCTGGGTGTCTGCCTTGTTAGGGTCTTGTACAAGAGGCCTGATGCCAGCCCATGCTGAAAGCACATCACCTCTTCGTACCTGTTGGTGTGCCAGAGAATATAAAATGGATCTCTTACAAAACATATCTCTACAATACATAAATTCTTTTTAGACACAAGAACTGGTGTCCAGACTAACAAAACTGTTGGATAATGAAACTTTTTCATACTGACACAATGCATCCATTTTTACAACATAAAAAAACACTGACAGAAGTATAAATTTGGTAATGTGGTTTGCAAAAGTATCAAAAGGAGAAAAAACTCATAACTACCAAATATCAACAAAAATTAAAAACTCACAATATGTTAAACCCTAAAATGCCCAAAGGCCATGGTTGAAGTAGTTCACCCATTTCCAAGCAAAAGCAGTGAAAGGATAGCACTTTGTATAGACTTATATGAAAGCCATCACCATGCTGCTTGTAAATGACATTCACAGCCATCTGACACTTCTTTCTTTCTGTTTTCCTTTCTCCACCAATATATGAAGCACTTTTAGAAATAGATGGTGGAAGTAAAAGAAAAGAGAGAGAGAGAGAGAAAGAGAGAGAGAGAGAGAGAGAGAGAGAGAGAGAGAGAGAGAGAGAGAGAGACAGAGAGAGAGAGACAGAGAGAGAGAGAGACAGA